CAGTTAAAGCCTAAAGCCAACCGTGAATACTTATCGCTATTTTCAATCAAACTGATGTAACAGAAAAACAGAGGACGTCCGGCTGTCGTAGACATGCGCTGTTAATCGAGTTCCTTCCCGCTGTTTTCAGTTATTTAGAGTGGGTGAAAATCACACCAATCGCAAAATTTCACGAGAGATTAGGACCCATCCCGAAACCCCAGCCGACATTTCCGAAACAAGTTTTTCCATGGTAACAAAAATTGCCAAAAGACCGCCAATTGCCGAACACCGTAGTCGCTAGACAGTGGGTATAGTACTATTATTAGTATACATCTATCAGTATATCCCCCCTCCCCCATACAGTTCATACACACACATACTGGGGCCGCAGAAATGCACAGGGAAAAAACCTGATAAAATGAGATATTGTGAACTCTTTCAGCACCATCGTTTGTTCGTTAGTAAATCCAAAGAGTATCAACACAGAGTTGTTGGCTATCCTCCGAATAACGGTCCTAAATTATCGAGGCGGAAAATATACCCCAACAGGGCCTTAGTCACATGTCATTTGCGCACTTCCGGCGACTACAACGCCCCGCCAAATTTGCGAACTTCCGACACTGCCGAGAGTATCCACCACGTTGCGTGAGCGGCGTGGGGGATACTCTCGGCAGTGGCAGAAGTTCGCAATTTGGCGGTGGCGTTGTAGGCCCCAGACTGAGGCCTTGTTAGGGTATATTTTCCGCCTTGATAATTTAGGACCGTTATTCGGAGGATAGCCGAGTTGTTAACTCATTAATAAATAATAAAAATTGAAGTTAGTTTTTTATTCTTCTGCCTTAAGTATTATTATTCTAACTTCTGTGGACTGAAAGATTGGCTACTGTAAACCAGAACTCTTCAGGATATAGTTAATTAATTGACAGATTATCCTCATCACACATTAGATGGCTCTCTTCCGAACTTTGTCCCCATTTTATGGCAACTAAACAAATACCTCAACAGGGCCTCAGTCCTGTGTAAAATGCAGACTTCTTCCGACGAACACAATATGACAAAACTAGGATTACTGTCCGTTGACAATTTCAAGAAACGCAACAATACACACGATAATAGCGACATGGCGGTGAGACCATGCGCTTCAACGCTGGTTAGCGATAGGTTCTTCCGATTAAACTCACCTCCAAGCGTATCCTCCGTGATGTGGGGTTAAACTAGATGGCTGGGACTCACAAACATCAGCTACTGCATCTCCTGCAACTTCCTCCAATTTATTTGCTTGTGAGTCTCAGCCATCTAGTTTAGCACTGTATCTGCGCTGCGCGTAGTGGCACGGGGGATACTGTCGGTGGTGCGGCATAGTCGCAGAAATAGGTCCGCAATTAACATATCGCTCAGACCCTGTTAGAGTATTTGTTTGCCCTCGATAATATTAGCCCATTATTCGAAGGCAATCCTAGTTTTGCCACGATTTGTTCCTCGACAGGCACTCTGCATTTTACACATGACTGAGGCCCTGTTAGGATATTTTTTTGGCCGCCATAATATGAGGATGAATTTAGGAGAAGAGCTGACAAATCCATAAGTGCTTCAGAAAATCCCTTAGTGTTTGATGACTGATAACACAAAGTTCCTGTATAGTGTTCATGTCTGGCAATTCCTCTTTTGACAGAAAGCTCTTATAGTCTTTTTAATGTTGCAGATTTACTTTCATCTCCTGAATCCTCTACTTTTCATGCCTCCTTGAGAACACTGGCTTGGTCCATTGCTTGTCCTAACCCTAACATGACCCTGCTAGCAAACTAATCCTCTTACTACTGAGTTCCCTGGCACAAAAATAACAACTGAATCAGAACCAACACCAGCATTTCTTGGCTGTTGTGGTTTTTCTAGGCACATTTACGTCCAGTAGTTTGCCATTGCTTTCTGGATGGCTGGCTTCTCTATAACCACTGTCAAAACCAATGCAAGGGACAAGGTTTGCAGCTGGGATCGAACCCGGTGCCCCAGCATTACAAAGCGTGATCCCAACACCTAAGCCACAGACGCCGACTTATTGATTTAGCCTTACCCAAAAAGAGGAAATGCAGCCTAAAAATGAAAAGTTATAGCAAGGCAAACCAGGCCCATAGCCTTGGTTGGCATCTGGTCTAGGAGGGAAACTTTGACAGGTGGACAGACAGAGCATTGCTCTTCTGATCTTTTAGCTTTTTTCAAAATGTATTGGTGTTGCCTTTCTTTTGGAGTAAACAAGGCAGGCACGGACAGAGAGAGGAATAATGCTGCAGGGGCAAAACTGGTCTCTACAATACTGTCCAGGCTTTTTTCTGTAGAAAGAAGGAACTTCATCCCCGGCCTTGATTGGCTGTGATTCCTATGCCTGCCTATAACACAACATAACATTATCACTTGGAAAGATGCCAAGAAAGTATGATGTTGACCATATCACCCCTCAAGTACTTATTGGTCTGCAAAAATAGGATAGCTCCATACACTGCTACACCTCAAGACATGTAAAGGTACTTTCTTTGTATCTTCTTAAATTCCATGCTGTGTGGCGTTGGTAGTCATGTCTATCCACAACCTTCTGTCTCGTGTACTTTCAATGAACTCTGACACAGTTGATCCTCCATGTCATGATGTCAGACTGGCCAGCATCGTCTTCCTCGGTCTCCCTCTGCCTTCTTTCCCTTCCAATTTTCCCATTGCCTCTATGTACTCCAGTTTTCTCTTTCTCATGACATGACCAAAGAATATAGACTGTCTCATTCTGATATAAGCAATCAGTTCTTTTCATGAGTCATTTTATATCAAGACATCTTTATTACTCTGTTTATCTGTGCAGGGTTTTTCTCATCATTTGTCTATAAAACCATATCTGCACATTTTCCAAATAATTTTTCACAAGTTATCCAACTGTTAAAAGACAAGTGTGGTACCAGAAGGACGGGCAAAGGCAAGAAAAAGGGTACCGCTTGGTGGAATGAAGAAGTCAAAGAAGCAGTGTCAAATAAAAAGAAGATGTTTCAAATATGGTTAAAAACAAAAGACGAAAAGGATTACATTAGGTACAGACTAACTCGAAGAGACACCAAGAGAACAATAAAGAAATCCAAAGAGGATTCATGGAAAAAGTATGGTGAACACCTAACACAGCTATGTACAGAATCATCAAGAGACTTTTATAAGAGTGTGAAAGCGATGCGATTAAGAGATGAAAGCTTCAATCCAACATCAGTCATAAATGATAAAAATGGAAAACCATTATTCAGCCAAAAAGAAATTAAAAAAAGATGGGAGGAATATTTTAAAGAACTTTTGAACCCGTCGGGAGTACATGAAACAGCAGAATTCCATTCAAGGGCTCCAGATCATCTAGAACCACATATCCTGCGGGATGAAGTAGAGAAAGTTATCAAAACAAGTAAAACACACAAAGCAGCTGGTATCGACGGAATAACAACAGAAGTCATCCAGGCTGGAGGGGACACTATGATCACCTGGCTGGAGAGAATTTTCAATAGAGCATGGGCAGAGAGAAAGGTACCAGTGGATTGGCAAAGATCAGTTGTAGTACCTATCTGGAAGAAAAAAGGAAACAAGAGAGAATGTGGAACTTATAGAGGAATATCTTTACTAAGTCATGTGGGGAAAATGTATGCAAAGATCTTAGAAGGCAGGATAAGAGCAAAGGTTGAACCTCTACTGAGTAAAGCACAATTCGGTTTCAGGAAAGGGCGAGGTTGCACTGATGCCATATTTGCACTAAGACAAGTCTGTGAAAAGACACTCGAATACGATAAAGAGCTGAACGTGGTCTTTGTAGATCAAGAGAAGGCATTCGACCGTGTGGACAGAGATGTGCTGTGGAGAATTCTTGACGATTACGGAGTGCAGTCTCAATTATTAGACAACATCAGAGCCCTCTATGAAAAAAGTGAAAGTGCAGTAAGAACATCTAGTGGTCTTTCTGAATGGTTCAAAGTCACAACTGGTGTCAGACAAGGATGTGTACTGTCACCATTACTTTTCATAACATACATGGATAAGATCACTGTAGAAGCAAACCCAGACGTGTATGCTATAAACAAATTACTTTTTGCTGATGATCAAAGCATACTGTATCAAAATGAATATGATCTACAGGAACATCTGACTACTCTCAACAACAGCTGTTTACAACATAATATGAGAATCAGTACAGAAAAAACAGAAGTTATGAAGATCAGCAGAACACACAGACCACTGAATATAAATGTTGGAAGTGCCAAAATCAAGCAAACCAAAGAGTTCAAATACTTGGGCAGTATATTTACAGAGGATGGAAGAATGGACAGAGAGATAGAAACAAGAATACAGAAAGCAAATGCTGTCACATACCAACTATCACCTCTGCTTAAACATCCAGATATAACCATGAAGACGAAAAGACAATTGATAAACACCATCTTCATTCCAACACTCTGCTACCAGTGCCAGACATGGACAATCAACAAGACCCATGAAAGAAAAATAGAAGCCTGTGAAATGAAATGTCTAAGAAAAGCAGCGAATAAGACCAGACTAGACAGGATAAAGAACATAGACATTAGAAACACTGTCAAAACTACACCATGTTTAGACTACATAGAACATCAAAGAATGAAATGGTTTGGACATCTAACCAGGATGAAAAATGACCAAATAACATCACAAATTTTCAACCAAAGAAGCTCAGGATATAAGGCAAGAGGAAGACCAAGGAAACGGTGGATTGACGGGGTCTCCGAAACCTGCCAAAAGCATGGCCTCAGAACATCAGATGCTGCCCGCCTTGCTTATGACAGGAACTTGCATCTCCCCACAACGCTTAGCGGCATACGTGGAAGGAAAAAGTAAAAGTAAGTAAGTATCCAACTGTCCATAAATGGTTCTTTATTTACTATAAAAAAATATTTCCTTACAGCAGATCCTGTATAATTTTTGTTTTTTATTTCACAGGCTGATGTGAGACATCCAGATTGTGATCTGCGTTTAAGATGGTTTGGATACACGCCTATGGGAGAGAAATATTTTCGGCACTGAAATCTTCATTTCAGAAGTGTGGTGGGCATGCTAATTTACACAGATGGACAAATTCCATCCCACCAGTAATGCACAAGTTGTCTGCATCACAAGTAGCACAGATTCCTATTAGACACATCCAGTTGTTTTGTGTAGCACTACCCGCCCCCTGTTCTTATTCATCCAGTTTAAAATATGCCTCTCGAATTTTGTCCAGACAGACAAACTGTAGGCATACATTGTGGCAAAGACAATCTGCATACAAGGGATTAGTGTTGTCGAGCACAAAAGCATTCTCTACCTCCCATTGGCTGTCTGCGGCTCAGAGAAATGACCTGAAGTCTTCTAATAAGACAGGATTGATTTACATCATAGCAATATTCATTTTCATGCTTGGTGGAGCCTATGCTGGTGTCCCACTTTACAAAGTGTTTTGTCAAGTAAGTACCCTGTTTAATTGTTAAATATAAATATTTTATTATGTATATTTACCATCAGTTTCTCCAGTCTTCGATCTTACACTGAAAGTATATAATCTCACACTGAAATTATATACTTTCAGCCCTCTCGCAACATGCCTTTCTATTTTTCTAAAAATTATTTCTCTAATTGTTATTGTCTTTCATATATTATTATTCTCTCACTGCATCTCATCTCCCAGTGACTTTCTTTTTTTTTTTCATAATCTCATCTCCCACTGGAGCATAGGTCTTCAACCAACTCACACCAAGAGCTTTGTAGGTTTGTTCATGACTGGTTGAATTTTACAGCTGCAGTTTTCTACAAATCCCAATGGTTCTTGGCTGGATTCCATCCATGATATATAAGTGATTGCACAGGATAGAATGGAATGGAGAAATAACCCTTTGTTACATATAATGGCACAATATGACAATGATTAAAAGAGTTTTCTACAAATTAGGTGGTCAGTCTCATGTCAACCTTCACTAGTTCTTCTTCTTCAGCATCCCAAGCCCTTGAGGTTCACTGCTGCAGATATCACCCGCCTCCATTCATCTCTCTGTTTGGCCTTCTGTCTTTCCAGTTGGTGACACCAAGTGTTTGCAGGTCTGTCTGGACATAATCTCTCCATCTTCTTCTTTGTCTGCCTCGTGGTCTACGACCATTCCTCTCCCTTGTGTATACAGTTTTTACTTTTCTGTTATCTGACATTCTTTCAAAATGCCCCAACCATTTCATCTTTTAGCTCTCATTATGCCAGTGATCAGTGGTGTTTTAAACAGATTATGAATTTTGTTATTGCTTCTCGCTCTCTATTCCCTGCTGTTTGGGATACAAATAAGCCTGATCTATAAAACAGATGTGCACACAAAAATCAAGTTCTGGAACAGAAGTTGACGAGCAAACAGGGCTTTTGGTTCAAGTTTACAGGTAGTAAACATAAAGAAGAAGAGGCTAAGTGTTATTTCTTTAAAATCATCTAGGGCAAACTATATAATAATTAGAGGCTTTATTCCTTTCCTTACAATGTAGTTTACACATGTGGAAACGAGAAGCATTCTGATTTTTTAAAAAATGTACTAATTGTTTTTTCCCTCTGATTTTGGATGACACTAGGCTACTGGACGAGGTGGTCAAGCAGTTAAAGGACATGATACTTCCAAAATAGAGACTATGGAGAAAGTGGAAAGACCTATAGTTGTCAGATTCAATGCTGATGTAGCTTCTAGCATGAGGTGGAACTTCAAACCCCTGCAGACCGAAGTGACAGTAAGTGTTGATGTTTTCACCACTGCAGTTTTACTTTTAACCTTAGCAATTCTGATAAAAAGATTTTGTGATGACAATTTTTCATTGCATGCAACACATCTGAAGTAAAACTGGATCTCTGCTTTGCTTACCATAATTAGTGATGGAAGAGGGGGAGCACATGGTGAATGGTCTGTGGGATCCAGTAGAACAGATAGATATCCCGTTGAGTGTTGGGCTAAGAACTGACATTGTAGCACTCAAGACATTCAGATAAGCGCTCTATCCTCATCTTCAGCAGCCAGCAAAGCGTTTCAATTCCAGTGGTGCCAGTAGCAGTTTGATTATACGTCTGTTTTGCCTTTCCTCCTGCGTATAGAGTGTCGACCAGATTCCCCGGTCACTTCTAGTTTTACCATTCCCTCTAGACCATAATGATAGACAGACAGACAGCTAGTTAGGTAGGTTGGTAGATACCCTGGTGATAATACAAGATAAACATTTCACCAAGACACTCTTCAAGTACACGTTGTCATCCATATGTTTTTAAACAAAATAGAACACATCTTCTTCTTTTTTTTCTGCTTCTTCTTTTTCTTCTGCTTCTTCTTCTTCTTCTTCTTCTTCTTCTTCTTCTTCACATTCACCAGCTGTAAACTCCAACATAAAGTTTTTGTTATTCATCCACCTTTAGTCTTGTTCCAGAACCTGAATGAGTGCCCACCCATTTCACACATCTGGCTTATTTATTTGTATGCAGAGACTTGGTTCCTTGCTTCTCAGGCAGATGTACTCTGACTTTGAAGGATGCTTGTTGAGGAGGCATTGGGTCTATTCTTGTTTTCCCCACAATGGCGCTCCAGAATCCATACAGGGAGAACCTATCTTCGTTGAAATGTCTCTCGTCTTTTTACATTTACCATGCAACCCATTAGATCCTCAATAGCAGTGTTACTAGCTTAGACCTGCAGACCTCTAATTTTTTAAAAGGTCTACCACAGACTTGATACTTTTTAATAGTCATACTGAAGAACCTTTTGTAATTTATAAACATTAGAAAAACACAATTTCCTTTGAAAGTGAGGTACATCTGCCTGAGTGGTGAAGAACCAACAGTCTGCATAAAATAAGCCAGATCTGTAAAACAGATATACACAAAGATAGTTAAGAAGAAGAACCACGGAAAGGACTGAATTCTAAAGTTAAGAGTTTGTATGTGTGTGTGCATCAACAACAAAAAATGACCCCTTAAATCTGTTGCAGGAACCAAGCGGTAAATTGGAAACACTGCTCTATGTTGTGGCGATCCCTCTAACATACAATTATTGTCGTTGCTACTTCATAACTTTAGTGTATGTCAGTCTATGGATCATGTAGTACATGTCACACTTGTTATTCACTAATGGAGGGACATTCTGTTATCACACAAGATCACATGTCCATAATTTGTCAATTGGCTGGGCATTGTGTATAGTTAAAAGAAAAATTGCAACACTTGTATTTTAAAATTTTTGGCACCAGTTATTCTTTAATATTATATTGTTTTGTTTGAAACAAAAATAGTTGGGTTTACAATTTTAGCAAGTTGTTAGAATATATCAACATGAAATAGAGAAACTACCTGTGACAGAGTGTCATGTTCCAGAAAAGAAGAATTGAACGTGTGACAGTTGGAAAGATTTGGGCCATGAGAGATACAAGATTACAGTAGAGAAGATTCTTGGCAGCCTGTTGTCATGGTATGGGAAAGTGTGAACAGATGAATTCTTCTTTTTCTTCTGTGTTTACGCTTAAAAGAGATGTTAGAATAATGTGTTGTAGTTTACAGATAGGCTGCAATATTTGCAGCTTTCAGCCCAGTGCATATAATTTCTTGAAATTCCTAAGTTGCTTGTAAGGGGGCAATGGGTTTGTTCCCCCCCCCCTCTTTCCCCCAGTGGGGTCCCGGAACCCCAGACAGGAATGATAAATTGGGTTATGCAATAGGAAATCACAAGATTGTGTCATTTAGCAGGGCATTTAGATGCCATATTGACAACATTTTTAAAACAAAAACTACCAAAAATTAAGCGGTGTCGAATTGTATATTTTAAATTATTAAAATACATTTCCTTTTCCCCCCTCTGTTGTGATGTACAGGTGTATCCAGGAGAGACAGCGTTAGCCTTTTACACTGCTAAAAATCCCACAGACAAACCCATCATTGGTATTTCTACTTACAACATTTTGCCCTATGAAGCAGGACAGTATTTTAATAAGATTCAGGTAACAAAATATTCTGTTAGTTTGTGTCTGTATTCTTTAATTTGTTACTTTGTACTCTTGTGTTGGAGAGCTGCTGTAACGTAGTGGCTAGAGGCTCTTTAAAGATCTTGGGTTTGAATCCACATGAAATGGATTTTGTTCAAAATTGACCTTGGCTCCCAGATCAACACAGCCTAACATGGGTCCCAGGTAGTTCCTTGAGAAAGGTGAGTGGTATGATGTTCACCACACTACCCATTTGCACAAGTTGATCTATATGAATCTGGCATTATATACTGTTCAGCAGAAAAAAAAAAAAAAAAAGCATAGTTATCTGATGACACATTTTTATTAGTTAACAAGAAGGCCTGTATGCCTAAAAACTTTTGATGGCCCTGATGCAAAAGAACTGTAAATTGATTAGTTGAACCCTACGGTATTCTTGGTGTGCTATTTGAACAATTTCACTTATTAAATTACATAAATTTTGAATGGCAGAATTATTATAAAATTAGATCCCTTTCTGTAGCTATGAAAATCTCTCTCTCTCTCTCTCTCTCTTTTTTTTTATCGGATAACTGAATTTTCAACAGTATAATTCTGATGTATCAGGGGTGTTAAACTAAAGACATGTAACTTAATCTAAATGCATGATAAACATAAAATGGGGTGAATTCAAGAGGAGTGAAGAAATAAGAAAAATGTCTGGGCAACTACTAATATCAACAGTTATAATATTTTTAAAAGATCATGGCACTATATTAGACATATCCTGAGAAGTGATCAACAGAAGCCACCAAAGGCACTCAAATGTGGAAAAATGAATTGAGAAAATGAGGATGTCCAAGAAAAACCCTGTGGTAGATGTTGATGAGAGAAGCTTTAGGTGGTGGGAAGGGGGAGAATAGATCCACTACCTGCCTGACATATATGTCATAAAAGGGGTGCGTTTTCTTAAAAGTCAGAGCACCTCTGTCTGAAAGAGAAGGAACTTACAGTCTGCATATAAGTAAGGCAGATGTGTAAAACATGTGCATGCAAAACTCAAGTTCTGAAACAAGACTGAAGTCAAAAAGTGGACAAACAACAAGAACTTTCTACCAGAGTTTACAACCGATAAATGCTAAGAAGAAAAAGAAGATATGCCATGGACTAAAGGAACAAGATTTAGGTTATATCGTGTTTAACTGATTCCTTACAAAGCATTCCAGCATATGTTTGATAATATTCATGACTGTTTTTACAAAAGTCATGAACAACTACAGTTCAACAAGCTTTGATCTCTGCTGAATTAAATGGGTCAGGTGACCAAGCAGACTATTCTTCTGCGGATCCCAGGCTTCTGCAATATCATGAGGAATGAAAGAGCAGACGGTTTTTATTATGAAGTCTGGCCCAAATATAGCATAATTGGGCTTTCATTCATGCTTTCTCACCTGTGACACAGGATGGTCTATGTTACAGGGGTGATGTCGCCTTGTCTCCGATGCTATCAACGGCAGTGTCACGTGTTCTATACTATACTACAACACCACTTTGATTGACCCCAGAACATATAGAACTGGCCCTAACCCCTACCCCGCAGCCTCAGCCTAGGTCCCACGAGAGAGTCCAGAATATGTCCCATCGTTTCAGAATTTTAAACAATTTCCGCTGCACCCTAAAAAACGTCTTGCTGCAGAAAAGCAACGCTCTCCTCCTAGTCGCTCATCAACGTGGACAGCTGATCTAAATTCATGTATTTGAACTGCGCAATATATGCAGTGTCACTGCCTGCTTGCAACATTGAGTAAAACACACTGCGTAGCTTGCCACCTATACACGCACAATATACAGACTTCTTCATGAACACAAGACAATGTGACACCCCTCTAATGTAGAATAGTCTGTGTCATAGGTAAGAAAGCATGAATGAAAGCCTAGTTGTGCTTTGTTTGGGCCAGACTTCGTAACAAGTTACGAGCAGACTACTTAACAAAAATTGGGAGCAGTACAGAACAGCCAAATGCAGGATGCGCTTATGTGGAAAATCTAACCAAGATCAAAGAAGCCTTTAGAACCCCCTGGAACACTTTCCATCCAGAACACAATCCCAAAGACTCAATTAACTTCCTCAAATAAAAGCAACAGACCATTGTATTTAGACTGAGAACTGGGCATATCATATTCCACAGCAAGATGTACAAGAAATTCAAGATTAGGGACTACAGGGATGCTCGCTATACGCAGCATAAAGATCTCGGGTCTGGCCAGTTAGCGTTCCAGTGAAAACCCAAGCTGTGTGGATCACAGAAGAATATGAGTCGCACCACAGTCTTTATAGAGACCTGTGACCTACTCATCGGAAAACCACTAGCAGGGAGAACAAGAAGGAGAAGACTATTTTTGCTTTCCTTCTCTTGATCCTACACTGGTCCGTTACTGACTGATGTGTTATTTTATTCCCTTTTCAGTGTTTCTGTTTTGAAGAACAAAGACTTAACCCACATGAACAGGTAAGCAATTGGTTTCAAGCCTGAATTGTTGATGCCATCAGTGTCTGTGGCTTAGTCATTGTAAATGCAGTTTTGCCATCCAAAGAGAACTGGAAAAGGGGGATATGCAAGTTTACTCACATGAACATATTTATAAAACAACATAGTTTTAAAGTAACAACACCGCCAGTGTGGGTTCAGGGACCCTATTGTGAAAAAAACCAAGAATAGACCCACTTCCTTCCCAACAAGCGTGTGGTAAGTGTTGACTAATTGAGAACTTCCTTTGAAGTCTCAATGCATTTGCCTCAGAGGTAAGGAACCTACAGTCTGCATACAAGTAAGTCAAATCTGTAAAATAGATGTGCACCCAACACTAAAGGGAGTCGCTGTGGTGGAGCGGCTAGACTCGTCTGCGGTTGGGAAGGTATGGGTTCGCTCCCTGGTGGAGTCGGACTTTTTTAAAATATGACCTTGGCTCCCAGGTCAACCCAGCCTTGAGTGGGTACCAGGTGCAGTCCTGGGAAGTAAAGGTGGCCGGCGTAATGCTAACCACACCACCCATCTTGTATCGATTGGTCTGTAAAATTTAGGTCTAGCCCTATATTCCTAAAGGCGGGAAAAAGGGTCCTTTACTTATCCAAAACTGAGGTTCTGGGACAGGACTGGAGTCCAGAGGGTCGAACAATGAGAACTTCCTTCTGGAGTTTACAGCCGGTGAATGTGAAGAAGAATGTAACATTATATCAATGTAACAGGGTGGGTTTGCATTTGGTATTGAGTTTTAGTGTAAAGATGCATTGAACTAGATTATGAATTAGCTACACAAGTAGTGTGTTTACTTTCTTTGTTGAAAAAAGTTGATTGTGTAATCTTATTAGTTTAACTTTGTTGCTGTATTCATAACATGTTATTTATAAATGGTTGGAGAATTATAATCTATATTTCAAGATATTAGATTACTAGAACACATCTGTTAGAGTGATTGATTTGTTATGGTTTCATTTTCTAATCAAAAAGACTTGAACACCAATACGAGACATCCAGTTATGATTATACTAGGATTAATTAAAGGCAAGAGGAGCTTCTATAGCACAAGGGAATTTGTGGAGGTCAAAAGAAATTAAAAGAAATACTAAACTAAAATTTTTTAATTCTAATGTCATTGTTGTTGTTGTTATTGATCCAGCGGCGCATGAGCTTTTGCCCTTTCGCCCAATGCCATGTAGTGGAATTTACATGTTTTCACAAGCTGTTTTTTTCCTCCGTACAAGATGTTCCACCTGTCTGATCTCGGAGGGAGTAGCATTCTTCTAGTCTCGTTGAGTTTTGGGCACTCAAAGAGATGATGGTCAACAGTTTCGTAGGGGTAGTTACATAGCTGGCACTCTGGGGAGTGTTGTGGCTATATTCTGTTGAGGTGTCCATTGAGTGGATTATGTTGTGTTCTGAGTCTGAAGATGGTGGCCTGGTCCCTTCTTGTTAAATGGTTAATGCTGTCATTAGGATCAGGGCTAGCCATGTGTCTATAAACCTCTCTTCCAGTATCTCCCATGGCCCATCTGTTCAGCCAAGTCTCTTTGTTTATAGCTTTTATAAGTGTTTTTGCTGTCTATATGGTTGTCGCTGTAGGTGGTTGTTCTTGTGTTGCTCCTTTCTTTGCCAGTCTGTCAGCTCTGTCATTACCTGGTGTGCCGGAGTGACCTGGAATCCACTGCATCACTATTCTAATGTTGTGTGAGGTAATGAGCTGATCAGCATCTAGAATTATCTTAGCTATGTCAGTTCTGCAGTGTTCACTGCCCTCCAGAGCTTGAAGAGCAGACATTGAATCAGTGAAGATGACAGTATTTTGGGCCTTTGAAGGATAAACATCCATCACAGTCTTTTGGTTAATTCTAATGTTAAATCAGTACTTTTGTATGGGGCGGAAACATGGAGAACAACTAAGGTTTTTACTAATAAATTACAGACATTCATTAACTAGTGCCTGCGCAGAATGGAAGGAATTAAATGGTATGATAGAATAACTAATGTAGAGCTTTGGGAGTGAACTCCAGTGGACCAAGAAGTGAGGAAAAGACGCTGTCATTGGATAGGACACACACTGAGAAAACAGAACAGCATAACTAGAATGTCTTTGTATTGGAACCCACAGGGGCATAGGAATAAAGGAAGGCCAAAATACACATGGAGAAGAGAGCTGGAGAAGGAAGTTAGAAACATTGGGAGAACATGGGGAGAACTCCACGTAATGGCCAAGGATAGAACGACTTGGCGTGAGTTGGTTGATGGCCTATGCTCCATTGGGCGATAGAAAGGCAGAAGAAGAAAAAGAAGAAAGATTAATTATTCAAATGTCATGATTTTATTGTCAATTATTTTACATTTTAAAATAAAGAAATGAAATGTTGCTTGAAAAAAACTTAAAGATGAGAAGAAGAAGAAAGAAGAATGAACAAACGTTATTTTCAAAGGGTCACAAATTGAGCACGCAGGCCAGTCTTACATTCAACCCTACCAGACACCCATCTGTCACACAGCAGTTGTATTATTTCAGTAAAGAATCCTTTTTCCCTATAATAATATACATATTTTGAATATCAAGGAAAAGCATGGGTGGTAAAATGCACGGACACACTGGCACATGCACACACACCTACAAACACAAAAAATTATATGAACACAGGGTGAGCAGTGTGCTATGATGTATGGTAATGCAGTTCAAGTAATGTTTTCCGGCCCATACACACCATGATTGACCGTTCATTCATGCTTGCTAACCTTTCACACTAGTTACTCTCTGTTACAAGGGTGTCAGGTTGTGTTCATATGTATATATTGCACTTCGTGTGAGTGGCTTAGGTGCACGTTGTGTTTTACTTGTTCTGAGCGGCCGGCGACATTGCATATATTCTAGCCTTTTCGGACTTCAGGCACTACATGAATTTACTTCAGTTGTCAGCGCTGACGACCAACAAGGAGGGCTGACTGCAAAATATTAACAGTTTTGTAACTACCGGACGTAAGCTGCACTCTCTTGTGGGACGTAGGCTAAGGTAGAGGTAAAGGTAAAGTCGGGAGATGTGAACCAGCGTCATTGCACATTGTTATAAACCATAAGTTCTCTGCCACCAGTACGGACAGTTGATAAGAAACTGTCCGCCTGTGTCACCGTTCGCATGTAACTCTGTAGCTACAGCGACGTTCCTCCATTTACCCCAGAGTGTCACTCTGGTACCCATTTCCTAGAGGCTGGGTGAACCCCGGAAACCGCCTGGTTTCGAACACCGACCATGGCTGAAGCGAGTCGCAGCTGGATTTGAAAGTGAACCTCCTATCGACTAGGCTAATGCGGCTCCAGGCTGAGGCTATGGGGTGGGTTAGGGCCAGTTCTGTATCTTCTGGGGTCATTACATCGTGTAATATAGAGCATGCGTCATTGCTGAGGAGAGCGTCGAAAAACAATACAACCTGACAACCCTGTAACAGAGAGTCGAGCGTGTGAAAGGTCAGCAAGCATGAATGAACGGCTAATTATGGTGTTTATGGGCCGGAGATCTTTCATTGTTCTAGTAATACAGACTTAGCGTGAGTTAGTTGAGGCCCTCTGCTTCATTATTGAATAAACGACAATTAACGTTAGTTGCATATCCTTTACAGGACATTGCAGAACCAACCCCAGCATTTTTGTGGCTGTTGTGGTAAACGACAGAATGAAAAAAAAAAAAAATGGCTTAGAGACATTGTCAGCTTTATTGTTTCTTTCGTTTAGCATTGTGTCTGTTTGTTACATTCAACACCAGTCGTAGCTTCTCCACGGGCAGTGTGTTATATTTCATATTGCTCTGTTCTTTGCCTGGATTTTTAATAATAGTTGCCAAAACAAATATAGCCACAGAGTTCCCCTGTTGGTGGCCAGAGGAGAAAAAAAATAGGCCGAATGTAAACTTACACTGCAAAACATCAAACCCGCTTGTCCTTCACGAGTCACTGCAAGAAAGCCGTCCTGGCATTTTGATCTTGTGGGCAAACAGGCCTGTTTGTCATCGTTTGTTTTGCGCCGTCTTAAATAGCTTTTACCCAGCTTTGCAAATGCAGAATTTTGTCACGAGTTCTTGATGGAGTAATCTCCTTTGTCACGGCCTAATTATTGTTCGGAGTTTGATTTAAACAAATATGTTCTAAATGGGTGATTAACGTCGTCTTCTTTCCTGCTTCAATTGATTCTTTCTGGAAAATATGTCCTCATTCTTTGACTGATCTTCATCATGAATTCCCTCTTCCTCCTCCCCTTAATTCATCTTGCGAACATGTAGCCTCATTCTTTGACTGATTATTATTGTCAGTTCTCTCCTCCTTCTCCCTTGATTCTCTTTGGAACATAGGCCCTAATTCTCTGACGGACCATCATAATCGTCGCTAACCCCCCCCCCCCCCCCCCCCTCCCACCACCACCCATTTCTACAGTTTAGACCTGAAAAGGAGAACTCATCGGGGACCCGAGAAATTATTCTTCTTATCAGAAATTATGTTTGGAACATATGCGCTCATTCTTTGACTGGTCGTCTTCATTATCATATGCTCCGTCTTCACCACCTCCTCCTACATTTCTTGATTCTGTGGGGATAAAATTTAAAAAAAAAGGGGGAGGGGCTTGACCTTTGTTTTGCTATCTCGCGTAACTAGCTCCATGTCCTCTCCATATGATTAATTTTATCTTGTGTGTCCTATCTAGTACTAACGTATATTTTACTCGAGTTACACTCTGCCTCTTTCCCTCTCTCTCTTATGTGTCTTTCAGTTTCTCTCTGTCTGTCTATCTGTGTTTCAGTCTCTCCTCTCTCTCTCTCTCTCTCTCTCTCTCTCTCTCTCTCTCTCTCTCTCTCTCTCTCTCTCTGCCTGCTCATCCATGCGACACACAACTGTTGTTCAGCACTTTCCACTTGGTGAAATAGTTTTATATTGATTTATGCTGGTTTTTTTTTATCTTTCTTCATAAACATGCTGACGGCCGCCAA